TTTAAAAAATTATTTTTTTAAATATTAATATATTAAAATATATAATAAAATTTTAAATTTAAATATCAATTTTAATAAAATAAGGTTTTCAGTTTTTCAAATGTAAGTTAATATTTTAATTTTTTTAAAAATCAAAATTAATATGTACTAACATCATAAAATTATTAATTATGATACTAAACAACCGTTAAATAAAGTTAGATAATTAACATGTACAAGCAAGATAAATCTAGCTTGAATTTGAGACCTAAGGATAAGAAAACCATCTAGTTGGTTTAGCTCAATATCGGCTTAACCAAAGTCTTTTACCAAGGCTGGTCACTGATCATCAAGTTGGTTTAGTCGAAGTTGACTCAATCAAACCAAAGAGTAAAAGTGATCAATGATACCAGTAGGGCTGGGTGTTGGTTTAGTTTGGTGATCAAACCAAATTCTTTTGGCATTAAAAATTTGGTTGAATTTGATGTTTTCTTTAAATTGAAATATTTATTTATTTGGTTAAATTAGTGACTCTTTTCGATTTTTAGGGTTTTAGAATATTTGTATTTGAACTCAAATTTAGGTTTGATTAAATTCAGTTTAAAATTGAATTTTTTTAGTTCAATTAAAAATTTTGGTGCTGTGCAAAAAAAAAAATTAAAAATTTTGGTTATTTTGATTTCAAACCAATAAATGTCCAACCCTAGATCGTAGGCCCAAAGACTAGCTTAGGATGGTAGGAACGAGGTGGGGGCGAAGATGTACTTTGATTTCATGGTGTTTTGGAAATCCCAGCTTGGCAGTGGTAATTAAATTATTGGCTATGGATCCTTGTTGGTAGCCTTTCCTTTGGGTTGTCGGTGCAGAGGGACGACTATGGGGTGTTAATGACGAGATCCTCTGGGGAATTCCATGCCCTGGTTTCTTTCTAGCTAGGCGCTGTCGGAATATTTGCTTGGGTAGTGAATAGTGATGACAGACGATGGCAGCGCTGGTTTTGTGGTGACATTAGGAGTGAATCTTCGGCGCAAGTCAAGGGTGATGGTTTTGGCTAGGGTTCCAAGACAAATGGAAGAGGGAAGGGATGATTTTCTCTCTTGTCGGGATATGCTTTCTACCATGGGGGCTGTTTGAGGGTTTCAAAGCACTCTTTTAAAGCCCCCTAACCCCATCGATTATATTCAATTGATCAAACTAGATTTAGTTATAAAACATATCAGACAAATGCTTTAACCTGTTTTGAAGATTGAGAAGATCAGACTCGAAAAGCTTGTATGACTCAGTTGATTAGACTAGGTCAATATCAAAATCATTTTCTTTTTAATTTGTAATTTTTTTACTTTTTTATATATTTTATCTTTTTAAATTATATATATTTAATTAAATTTTATTTTTAAATTACTTTTTAAAAAATAAAAATTATTTTTTAAGTAATTAAATTATATTTTAAAAATAAGATAATATCATTATCTAATAATAAAATGTATAAAAGAAATATTTGAAAAAGTCGACTTTTTACTCCATCAGTCGAACTGACTAGGCGAGTCAGATCTGGTGATTTAAAAGGGTCGATCACCCAGACCCAGTTGGGTTTTAAAACATTGGTTTTAGGGAGTGCTTGTATGTCGACCATGGTGTTGCTAACACAGATGGAGATGATGGAGATGGATAAACGGCGTCTGACAGTGGGCGGCGTTGTGGTGGTGGTGCTACGTTTTTTGTGCTGATCCGACCTATCCGAGTTCTTCAGCGGAAAAGCAAGAGTTTCAATTACAATGATGATGTGACATTTTAAATCCCATATCAAGATAGGTTAAAATATAAGTGCGAGTAATTTATAAATATTAAAATTAATTATTATTAATAATTTAAATTTAATTTTTTGAGATATGTAGATATAAATTTAAAAAATTATTAGATTAACGATAAATTTAAATTAAGTTGTTTCAAATGATTAACACCCCATAATTTTATGTATTTACAAATTCCATCCACTTATATTTTCTCAACCATTTGCTTAATAATTTATTCTTATCTAATAGTAATTAATTCTTGCATTGTAATTTTTGTAACTTTTACCACTCTACCACCCTTTATAGGCCTTGTTATGGTCTAGAAAAGATATGGAAGAAACAGTATTTAGTGGTGACTAATTCTTGAATTGTGACTCTTATGACTTTTATCACTCTACTATCTTATATAAGGTTTGTTGTTGTCTGGGAAAGATACAAAAGAAGTAGGGAAAAAAAACAAACACTTCGTGGTCTTTTTATAAATTTCATTAACATTTACTCTGTCAAGCATTTATTTGGTGATTTATTTTTATTTAATAGTGATTATTCTTATATTATAACTCTTATAACTTTTACCACTCTACTACTCTATACATAAGATTGTTATTGTATGAGAAAGATATGGAAGAAAGAGGAAGAATAACAAACTTTTCATGGTCTCTCCCTTCCTTTGTTTTTCTATTTTAGACTTTTTTTCTACTTATTCTCTATATTTTACAACACTATTAGTTTTTCTTTTATCTCTCTCTCTCTCTAAGTTCTTAACTTTTAGGAACAATTAGTAATTAGTAGTCTAAATTAACTCGAATTGCCCATTTGATTAAGGTAAAACTATAGAACAATAGTACAAACCTAGCTTGGGTGGGATTGGAGGCGGTTTTGAGTTACAAACCGTTTGTTGTTTTACTTTTCGCCTAATTCAATTTTTCGAATAATACTTCCATTTATTTTTTTAATAAATATATTAGTGTCCTTAAAGAAAAAATTAACAAAATTTGTTTCACTTGAATAAAATTTTGTGTGGAATAACCACTCCCTATTTCGCATTTGAAATTGATTTGAGAGTAACTCGACAAGATCAGTACCATTCAAACAGTGCTCCAAAACCAAAACAATCACACAATAAAAAGCTACATATAATTTCAACAAAATCGTCTTATTTTTTACAGTCAAAGATTCCCACCTTGGAAACTGAGTCACCTAAAAAGAGACAACTTAAATAATAATAACCCAATCATAACTAGAAAATTGTTAACGTATGTCGAAATTTGGCTAACTTATATATGTAGAAGTGTTGGGGCAAAGAGGAGACAGGCGTGGTCATGCCACATGAAATGCAGAAAAGAACTCGGCATTACGTTACAAAAACACAATACATTCATGCAGAATCTTGCAGATACAATAATTTGTATTAAATAGCAAAAAACACAAAAGTTTAAGGCGGAAAAGATGGAAAACATTCCAGACTGCAGAATACAACAATGGTGTCGTTATAAAAGGGGCGGATGGGGCTCCAAGCAAAGGCCAAATTGTGTTGATATTAGATGAAATTTTTGAGTTTGAATTCATCGAATTGGTTTTCAAGGGGTTACAGTCAGGTCAGGTCAGGTCATTCAGGTGGGATGTCAAATGGAGAGTCCATTCTAGGGTCCTACCCGGTTTGATTTTTCTTAATGAATTTTGTCTAAGGTCGAGTTGGGTTTGATTTTTGTTTATTTATGTTTGGAAATTGCAATGCATGAGGAAATTTAGTCATTCTTTGCTGGGAAAATCATTATAAAGCAAAAGTTCCTATTGACTTTAGTTCTCATGAACAACTGTTAGTTAATAATAAATAAAACAATGAATATTTATTAATTAATGAGTTAAAATTTATTTACATGTAATTTTTATACAAATTATTTATATAAAATTTTAATTATATCATGATATTTTATACACCTATAATATTTTGTGTAAATAATGTTTGTATTTTGTAAAAACTGTAGAAAAATAAATCATAAGTCTTAGATGATAGTTTAAAATTAATATATAAGTTGGTGTTCCCAAATACGCTAAGCAACTGTTTTAAGGAAAAGAAAAAAGGAAAAAGTTGAAAAAACTATAAATTGATCAAATTAACCAAACCAAACACACCCAAAGGGATGATAATCAGTTTTGTTACCAAGCATTTTTATGCCCACTATCATCGATGATTCCTTGAGCAAGAGCACCACATCGATATCAAGAAATTCATTTTACTTCATGCAGGTTATGGGTGATATACAAGTATGAATATAGCGTATGAGAGACACTTGGGCTTGGCTGTGGCAAATCTTGTTAATTCAATTGCCGAAAAAAATAATGGTACAGTTTAATGTGATGTTATATCACTCTAGAAGAACAACTAGATCATGATATATATCACAGGAGGCTCCTCTCATTCTTCCACTTCATTCGGTAGTGTTGGGTCTACTACTGGTGGTATGCAATCCACTTTGTAGCGCAGCGCCTGTTCAAGAAAAATGATGAACACAGCAATATGGTTTATATATATCTCAGGAAAAGGAGGCGGATAGATCAGTACGTAGTCAAGCCATCTCAAATCATGTCAAGTTTTGGTCATACAGACAGACATAATGATTTTATTTATTAAAGGGCAAACATGAAGCAGAAAAATTCCAAGGCATGTACTGAAAGAAGATCATGAAATGGGTTTAGAAATCTGTCAAGGAAAATTATAATGATTAAGAGACCACCAGCACAGTGCGTGCATTTGAAAATGTTGTCTTATGTGCCTGAGTTCGTTTAGAAAGAGAAAGAGTGTGTGTGTTCTTACCAGTACAAGCTTAAAGGCCAAAGAAATTGCACAGAAGAGCAAGCTAAGAGAAAAATAGACAATCTTATAAGCTAAGATGCTGAGTAATAAATATCACCAGTAACTGTTAATCCACTAAAAAGGAAAACCACCAATATCTGCTTACAGATTGTGACCACAATACTCAAGAGACATATCGAATAAGGGACTAAATCAAGTGGAAAATCAGGAACAATAATAAAATGATTTCAAACACTGCTTATCAACCTCCTACCTTTCTGAAGAAAGCCGAATATGAATTATCCCATATGAGTTTGTAGTTTCCAGCCATGCACGTGCAGAAGTTCCCCTATGAAAATATGAATGAGGATGAGAACAATGAAAAATATATCATATCAAATGTTAAAAATAAAATCTAGGCAATGCAACAGATGCAGTGACGTACTTGGTTGGATTCATAACGTCTGTAAGGTAATATTAGCTGATAGATGATCCCCAATACCCCAGTAGAATACAAAAGAACAAATGGAGTCAGAAATACATGAAAAAAAATTAAAGATGACGAATAGGAAGAAAAATGTAGTTGGTGACAAAAAAAGAGAACAGAAAAGCCATGAAGGCCTGGAAGCAAAATAAGGGATGATGCCAACTAAACAAGTTTAAAATGTTAGAAGAAATCAAAATATCAGAAGACAGAAGGTGATTATGCAGTATTATGGTCCAACTTACTGATTTCTCCCCAGCAGAATTTATATATTCCACACTAAATCCAATATCCTGATGGTAAAAGTGCAGAGTAAAAGAATAGTTAACAAACCCCAATATTGACCTAGTAAGCTGAACACCAAAAGTAAAATTTGAAGAGGTTTAAATACAATACCAAGTTCATCTTTCCTTGTATAACTGAGAAGTCCCAAGCAATGTAAGAATTTATTGATTCCACTGTCAATGAAACCTAAACAGGTATATTAAATAAAAAGTAAGGTTTATTTTTCAATGCAATAGTTCTGATTGTTCCAGTGTTCAAACTTTTACAACAAACCCATGACACCCTTCTGTTTAACTTGAGATGGACTGATAGCTGGAAAACAAATGACACCCTTCTGAAACAAATTCAGTGAATTTATTTTACCAGTCCTTTGGGTGTCAAAGCAATGGAGCTTAAATTTCATAAAATAGTACTATGATAAGCTTCTGGTGCAAATTTTCTTTTGTAATATCAATTATATGATTGCAAATGGCAGACTTCCATGGCTTGTATGAATAATTAACATAACAAAATAAGCTTATGGAACAGCTTTGAGGACAAACCTCATGATTTTTTCCAGCTCCAACATTTATTTCCTTGTAGTCATCATTTTTCCTGAGGATCAAAATTAACATGATTCAAACAGAAACTACTGACAACAAGATTAGTAGAAAACTGTATACTTACCCTCCATCTAATGCACTGGCCTCCTCTGCTGTAATAAAGAATGGTGAATTGGCAAAGACCTCGCTGAAATAAATAAGGAAAAGGAGAAGGGTCTAATTAATAAATAAACAGCTAAAAGGCTAACAACAATGCTGCGCAAACAAATGCTTGCAAGTTGCAACAAAGAAGTAAATATAATTCACTTTCTACTTGAACATGCATTAACAATAAAGGAAGAATTTCACATCTGTATATGTTTGTGTGTGTTTGTGTGTGTGTAGTTAAGCATGTCAAACCACCTTAGTAGTAACATTACTACATCAGTGATCATTCTAATATTTCAGCACATGTCCCCTGACAAAACTACTCAAGCTAGAATTCAATCAGTAGAGGTTGACTGTTAATTATTACATTGATCAACTAAAGTCTTGCTCCACATAGCCAAAGGTGACAATGAAAACAGCCTCAATCAGAGGCAGATTCTCCCATAACTACACTTCATACTCAATTGAAGTTTAGAAATATCCCAGGTTACAGTTTTAATGATTATATGCTTTGATGTAGATTGAAATATTATTTGCATACCTAAAACAGACTAAAATTTAATATTATGTGAGTGATTGCTTTTTAAATGGTCAATATGCACATTGGCCAGCAATCATAAGACCACTGTTACCCACCCTAACAAGCTGTGCTGACCACAAGAGTGTCAAGCAAACACCTTAGTTACATCAGCAATAACAATCAAAATCTATTTAAGCTTCCTCTGTCAGAATATTGCTGAAACACATGCTACCGTGGTTGGTTGAGGCTCATTCCAACAAAGATGTATGGTATAAATGAGGATAATTACACTATTTGGATGTGTTATCAAAAAATTCCTCCGTACAATGGGCAACTCAACAGCATATACTATACCATCTCCTAGGAGTCAAAAACTAATACCAAAACAGACTCTCAAAGTCAATGAAGATCTAATTACTCTTAGCATTGATTGGAGAAAACGAGAGTTAATTACTGATGTTATAAATTTCAGAATCTGCAATACTACCACTAAAACTAATTTAAAGAAGAAATTGACAACCAATACATATGAAGAAAGCAGGATGATACCTGATGAAAGAGATAAATCTCACAAACTCAGAGGTATACACTTCAGCTGCTTCTTCCAGGACAGCAATCTGATGCCGCTTTCTTCAAAAATGGAGAAAATTCCAAATATATATTAAGGCACGGGTAGAATAAAAAATGACACTAACTCAGCAGGCAGGATAAAGTAGACATACTAGTTGATACTGGCAGTAAACTACAAGGTAAGACTACTTGTTTATCATGTAAATACACAAAGTAGAGTCGGAACAACAAGAATATACAAAGCTTGGAAGATATCTCACAATTTACAAGCCTCAAATCTCTCCCATGCTAGTGAAAGAAAGAGTCGAATGGAAAGCACCATTCTGGTAAGGCTGTACAAAGGGGGTCCATAGCGTGAACGTTGCTCTTCCATCGGCCTATTTATGAGAAAATTTCATATCATTCAAGATTTAGGAAAATTCCTCAATCCTCACCCACCCTGTTAAGTGGACAAGGAACCATATAGATTACTACCAGAATCCAGACCAAAGAAAGCTTACCCATCATCGTCATTTATTTTCCGAATAAAATCCAATAAAACCTGTACAGGGGGAAAACTGTCACACAAGCAAAGACTTTTGATGCTTACAAATTCTGAACTTTCCATTCCACTAAATTTTCCTTATAAACATTCATGCTTTTTGTTTGTCTCTTTTCTTCCACTTATTAGATTGGAATCATAAACATTGCAGAAAAGTTAGTGAAATGCATGATAAGAACAAGAATAACTCTATGAGTGACACGTGGAAACAAACCCAAATTAAATCCTTGAATTCAACCCTATTACTAAATGGAAACTCTCTCACAATTGACAACAACTCTCAGCCCCCACTGCAGTCCAACAGTCAAAGCCAAAATCAATCAGGTCTGTCCTTTCTTTCTTTATTCTTTCTATCTTTACCCAACTCACTACCCATCTTGTCCTTTCTCCACTCTTCTCTCTTTCCCCAGCCTTGTTTTAACCTCTCTCAATATCCATTTTCTCTCTTATCCTGTTATCAATGGCTTTCCTGTTCGAATTTTTTTCAGTTTTCCAGCACAGCCTCTTTTACTTTATTTCTTCTTTTTTAGGGTTCTTAATTTATATAGCATCCTTTCCTTCTTTCAGGTCAGTCCTTTCTTTCTTTATTCTTTCTAGACAAAGAGGATTCTTATGTTTTCTAGGCTTCTTTTAAGTTTTATAAAGCGTCCTTGGTAGTTTATATTCTTTGTAATATATGCATAGTTTACCAATAATAGTAACTGCGGCAACACTGACTCTCAGAGTTCTATTGCACCTGGTTCTTTTAATGACTTTCATCAGCTATGACTATATAAACATGTTTGACTTATAAAGGCCAAATTATGCCTCATGAACAAATTTAGAAAAATTTTCTTTTAGTGTCATAGAAGATTGGATTGAACCACATATGTGCATTTGTAAATTTGATATTGCAAAAATAAAGTTTATGAAGAGCCTCATTAAACAATCATATAAAATCTGAGAAAATAAAGAAAATTTTCCAGCTAATGAAGCACTAACAAGCTGTTGAGTGTGAAAATCCCACATCGAGTGTATAACGAAGAAGCTTGTGGATTAAAATACAAGCAAGGCTACTCCACCTATTGCCAATTGGTTTTAGGTTGGATGCAAACCTTATGTTGAGCCCACATGCACAATTTCCACACAAGCAACAACACCACTAACAGCCACACATTACAGCACAAGTACTTCAGAAGAGAAGACAGCCTAACAAATTTTTTCTAGCCTTTCATCACAACAAAATAGAGAAAATAGTGCTAATAATTCATTAAACAATGACTAAACTTCAAGAAGACAAAAGAGATGCATGGCTGGTAAAACTAACTCCTAGGACTCTGAGGTATCGGTCCACAAAAGAAATGTAAACAGGCTAAACTAGGCCAAAACCAATCACACAGAAAAACAAGAGGATACAAAGACATACCTCTGGAACTCCAACCAAGTACTTTACAAGGGTTTTATAGACACCTGTTGCAGAACCAAGCTGAGCTAATTGTATCCTCCTGATGGGACAGTGAATAATAATTTCATGAGATCATTTACTGTTTGTAACACTAATTGAAAAAAAAAAATTCATGGAATTTCACCTGTTCATTTGTTGTTTCCAAAGCAAAGCATATCGATCATGTATAGTTCCACCAGAATTAACCAAAGCATCAACCTCTGCTTGCTTGTTCCTCTCTGATCTCTCCCTTTGTTGTCTGATAATTTTTCCTCTAAAATCTTGAGGCAAATAAGTCATAACTGCAAATGGCAAATGATATGTAGCTCATAAAGAGTGATACACAAATTCAAGTAACCACACAACATTCTAAACAAACTCCTGAGAGACACAGAGATAGAAGCTTACCTACATTAAATACACGTTCAGAATTTTTTGTTTGGAAAGATTCCAGTGTATTCAAAGTTTTTTCAAATATATCTTTAAGTTTTCCAAAAACAATAGTCGATTCAGAGTCCTCTGGTGTCACTGGTTGTTGAAGCTGCAATAACAGCAACCATTATAAACGCTAGAACTCATATGATATATAATGTTAAAACCAGGGTAAATTAAACTTGATAATGCAGTGATGTATAAACCCCAGAGCATGCAAAAGATGAAACCTTCAGCCTTCATGGCATGATATGGTAAACTCTACATATCTTACCCCAGCTGGCCAATGCGATCTTTCGAGTAAAAAGATAATTTCTTCCATATGCTCCCTATTCTTCCACATGTTTTCATCAATTTTATGGGGAGGTTGACGGTCTGCTTCTTGTATTAGTATGTTTTCACCTAGAATGTAAAAGACAGAGCAAGTGATTGAGGTGTCATGTTAATCGCTATGCAATACCAGCACCAGTTTGCAGTTCTTCATCAAAATTGTGCTAGTCCAAACAGAAAATTGACAGTTTTTTTGGGTTTTCCGATCAATATTGGTATAACTAAACTAAAATTGCAAGTAAAACAATAGAATTTATCATATGAACATGAAAATTGCAGATAAATTTGAATGCAAGCAACAAAAATGAAAAATAAGAGAATGGGGAAACCATTTTTGGGGGGAGAATCTTGAAGCAAATCTTGGGCGAAACCGTGAATCTGAGAGGAAAGGCGAGAAACATCATCGGGGAGAGGCTGGAAGCGGTATTTGTCATAATAAGAGGCGAGAAAACTTCTTGTTATGGGCACGAGACCGTCAGTGGATGCCATTGTTGCACTTGGCTTGGTTGCCTCTCCCTCTGCTTCTCTCGGCGATAACCTCTACGAATATAGAGACTTCAGATTCGCCGGGATCTGACCTGAAACCACCACGTCTTCGCCGGAGAGATGAACAAGAATGAAGTGAGAGTCCACGCAAACCTTCCGTTTGCGTTGTTACTTCGGTTTGCTTCCTGTATTTATTCCGACCGAATATTACTTTGCTTGACAAAGATGCCGCTATTTATTCTTCGGTCGGCCTGACTTATTTTGTTTTCCCATTCCAACTCTAAAGTTATTTTTTGAGCAATTAAGGCTTTATTTAGGAACGATTCTTGATGCTTTAGCTTTTGATTTTTATAACTTTTTATTATTCTAAAAATATAAAAATGTAACTTAAGATATATTAAATATATTTTATATCATTTTTTAAAAATTAAAAAACTAAATTAATATTTTAACATGCAAAGATCAAATCAACGAGCACGAGAATGTTAGGCATTGGTGTGTAAAAGACAAAAAAGTGTGTGCTGGACTGGAAAACTGCCATTCCCAGTTTCCCAAAAACTGCAACGTAGCGTTTGACATTTTGCTTCTTCATTTTTATATCCTTCTACCTTACATTATTCTAATGCTTACTGACTTCCCATTTTTCAGAAAGTAAAAAAAAGGTGTTGAGCAGCAAGATAATATGGACAATTTAACGATAGTAAATTCTTTGGTACCAGCCTCTATTCTATTCAATTGTAATTGTTATAGTATATAATATAATCCCAACCGGCCCGTGGTCCAATTGGTTGGTCCCCAAGTTTTAGGGATTGGGTGAGGCGGAGGTCAGGGTTTTGAGCTCTGCCACCACCGTGAACTCCACCAACTTGCGACCTAATGGTCGCGCGCCTTAAACGAGAGGTGGAAGTTTCACTTTTTTAGAAAAATTCCAGTTGCTAACAAACTAACTCTACTAATTTCCTAACCATCTACCTGGTAAAAAAAAATATATATATATAATATAATACAAATTATAAAAATAAAATTTTAAATTAAAAATATTA